ACACACACACACACACACACACACACACACACACACACACACACACAGAGAGGAAGCCAAACATAGGAGGCCATGAATCAAGCAGGGTTGAAAGGCGGCCAACGAAATCAAGGTCAAAGCAACAATACCCCCGCCACAATTGCCATTTCACTTCACAAATTACTTTCCCATAACTTTAGAGCTGCAGTTTAACTTAGAACACTACAAACCAACATCCTCATGGTGCACACCAAAATCTTTCTGTCATCCTGCACCACAAAAACAGAACAGGACAATCATCAAAAGGAACAAGCTAAGTGTCCCATAAAACTTACCGCCTCATTAAAAACAGCAATGTCCCGAGTTCTGTGTTAGCATCCAACCGGTTAGCAAGAGTGGGTCCCACAAATCCATGATGCGCCAACCACATTCTCACGCAGGCACAATCCAAAATAATATCTGTGCCCGTGTGCAGATGCTGGCTGACACAGACGCAGCCTGTTAGTGAATTCAGCTCTGAGGAATGAGGGACTGTTTAGAAGTGCCGTGCCGCACGGCTAGCAGAGAAAAGGCGTGTTGTGCATGGAGAACAATCCCAGCATTTGAGCCCCTCTGACCCTGCCTTGGCCCCCACATCGATAATGGCCAGCGCTGGAATGTGGGCTCCGATCGCCGGAGGAAGACCGACCGGGGAAAGACAGCATCAAAGGAAGGCACAGAGCAGCCAAAGATTGTATATTGCAAACATGTCGGCTACAAGCATGAGCTGTACATTAACATGTCTATATGCGCACACAGACATGGAAAACTATTTTAATTTGGGGATGACCTAATTCCATTCTTTAGGGGGAAGAGGGGGCATTGTGTGACACCAATAGAGGTCCCAGCAGAGCAGCAATATTTCCTGAAGTGGCCAATTTTGCTACTCGGGGCAAAGGGGAACACAGAACTCCCCTTTTTTCGGGGCCTGGGGGGGGTAAGAGAAATGTCTTTATCGTCTGTATTTTTCTCTCCCTTGTTTCCTCTCTGCCTCCAGCTCTTGTATTTATTCACAGCCTTCAGAGCCGAGTTGTGTGTTCCTCTAACAATACCCCTTCAGTAACTCTTCCATCCTCTCCCCTGTCTGTGAAATCCCCTCAATCGATCAATCTTCTTCCCACAGGAAGTGAGCGTCTGGCAGCAGAGGGGTAACGTGACGGTTGACAGGCTGAGAAGATGATCAGCAAACTCGTGCACAATTCATGTACCTACATCAAACAGCCAGACAGAACTTGAGCTGAGGTTATGTATGGCATGATTAACCTGTTTTTCATACGGAAGGAAATCATCAATCATCACACAGAAGAAGACATTAATAAGGAACCCTGGCAACAAAACTATTTTGCATGATTCCTTATTCATGAATTTACTGATTCGGTTACAGTAAGTAACAGACACGTAGATCGGATTTTATCGAGTTTATGAATGCAAACCATAAAATGACTGTGGTGGCTATGAATGTGCTATGAATGTGTAGCACATCTCTCTTTGAAGCATATTCATCCACTTAAAATAAATTGTGATTTAGGGAAAGCAGCATTACCCAGGATCCATAGCAAAGTCTGTGTGAAGGCTGTAGGGTCAGACTTCCATTTACTTTAACAGTAAGAACATGAAATGCACATGCATGTAGCTGCATAAAAGGGATTGAAATGTAAATGCAAGAGACTGGTTTAAGAAAACATCAGTGCTGTTTAGTCAGGAATTAGTAACATATTTCAAAATCGCACTCATACACATGTGCAGGGAAATATCTTCAGAGTACTTGGAAATTCTTTGTATGCATAAACTCATTTCCAGTAAAGTGAGTCAGTGTGTGAGACTGTGTGACTGCTTGTTATTCCCATATGATGGCATACAGTACAGAACTAATGAAAAGCCGCCGTGACCACTGTGAATGTAAATCAGAGCTCATCTATATCTAAAAAAGGAAGAAAAAAAAACAACACATCAACATATGCCAACAGACAACGGAGAGAACTGATCGATTTTTAACAGACACTAAAACTACATTCAACATAACCTGACTGTCTGAGCTCCAGCTCCGCTCCACAAAGAATACTCAAACGTCTGGAGGCTTTCTCTCCACAGATCACAGCTGACAAAAATCACAGCTAACAAGAGCCACCGCCGCTATGGACTCCCCACAATTACAACTGATTGATGGAGACAGACCTGGCCTAAATTTCCAAAAAGACAATTTCCTTGGCACTACAGCAGCCAATTTTGACTTTTGTTGAGGACATATTTGAAATTCTCATGACAGGATGAAGATGAATAAAATATGAAAGAGAGGAATCTCAACATATTGCAGATATCTTATTGTGACTGCCAATTCATGAGCGCAGCCTCAGAGAACCGAGTTAAGCGATGGCCCAAGACTCACACAGAGTAACTCCCATAGTGTTAAGACGCACATGACATGGTGGAGAGGATATATGCGCAAAGGCGGATTTGCAGTCTGGCCAAAAAAACATGAAAAGCAGAGAGAGAAGGGGAGATAAAGGGAGAGGACGGCAAGATAAAAGTTGAGTAAAGGTGGTTTATGCAATGGCATATATAACTGTCCAGAATTGAGAATATTTAAAGGGGAAAATATATAGGCAGATACATCAAGCTCGGAAAACTAGTTGATTTACAGTCTTCTGAATCTGAATAAACACACATACACCCATGCACACATGTTGAAATAATAACGGTCATCCACCTCCACAACCTCCTTGGCTGAAAACTTAAAGGTGAGAGTGTTTAGAGAGGTAGAGTAGAAGGGGAGAGGTCAGGTTTTTTGGGGGGTGGTCAGAGTTGGGATGATGGGGTGGGGTGTACTTACGTTGCAGTTTGAGGACTGGTTTAGATTGGATGCAGATCCGTCAGTCCACTCTGCAGTGTCAGTACTGCTGGACTGTCTGCTGCGCTCATACTCCTTCAGCTACGTGGAGAAGAAGAGTTTAGAGAGGCAGAGGAACAGGGCGGGGCCATCCACTCTCACCCAGCATGCATCTCTCCATAGGCTAACAATTGATAGGAGTCAACCGATTGCATTCACAGTGCATGTGTACAGACAAGACGATAAGTGGTAAATAAATGGTGTGTACAATAAGCCGAGTTTGGTGATGGTTGTGCAAACAATCACTGAACTAAAAGCCTGTTATGTTTTATGAAAAGCATTAATCTATTCTAAAATGTCTAGAGCCTTCTCTTCAGTGTGGTATGATTTTTTTGTCATGAAGATTCATGCCAGCCTTTCTGAGCAGACATAAATCTGACACCATAAATTAAAAAAGTGAACTGAAAAGTAGATTGAATTGTATTAGTTAATAGTCTCCTTCATCCCGAGGCACATACTACCTATCACTACACTGACAATAATAGAAGACATTATGATGGTGTTGATCAGTGGTATACTGAACACACTAAATAAAGACACGCAAGCACAACAAGAAGTTGAATCGACTTTCCACAAAAGGCTGATCATCGATTGGTTTAACGGAGTGTCAATCACTAGAGCGGGAAGCTGGGATCAAGCTACGCATTGGCCAAAAGAAAATCAAAGTTCTGACAAAAAAAAACGGTAAGAAGATAATTAACAAGCTGCTTTGTGGAGAGTAATCCTGTACTCGAATGCTGCCGGACGGACATGCTACCCATGAGCAAGGCATTACAGAAGGGGAGGTAAAGAAAGAAGAAGGCACATGAAAAGAACAATAATCACAAATCGATTGAAAAAGAAATGGAAGGAAATGTAAAGGAAAGCCAAGTTATTATCCACCATGTCCACCGAGAGAGAAAAACCACAATGCACCAGAGCCCCCCCC